GAGTGTGTCTGGGTGTGTAAAAGACTCGCTGCTCGAACGTTTCCTCTTTTCACCCATTTCCGGGCCTGCTGCCGGCCCATCTGCTGCCGGTTTTTCATCTTTCCCTAGCATTTCCCTCCTACCAGGCACCTGCCCGCTCTCTCCGAACCCCTGCACATCCCAACACCATTCTTTTGCTCAGAAAGCTGGAGGCCATCTTGCCTGGGCGAATTACTTTAAAATATCCAAATTCAGTAAACTATTTCACATGTGAAATAAAGTCTGCACCACCAGACAAAACCCAAATAAGAACTCTTGATGGTCATCACAGAGTCGAGTGAACACATGTTCCAGTGGCTCTGGACTCACCGAGCGTCCCAGACCCACCACTTGAAGGGAGAAGCCCTCACAGCGGGACAACACCGGCTGCCTGGCCCTGCGCTCGGAGCGGCCTCAGGAGGCCCGAGCACGAGGTCCTCCACCCAAGGAAGGCCCGTCAGCCGTGAAACTGAAGTCCTCTGAGTGAACCTGCACACGGAATGCAGTGTTCACTAACGGGTAAGCGGTCAAAACTTACATAAATGCTACTAAAACTCAGCAGTATCCACAGTATCACTTAAAACTTGACCAACAAAAGGTTTGGGGGAAGTATGGGGTGGCCAAAAAGTCCATGTTCTTTTCTGTAAAATGAAAGACACAGTTTTCATTTTCACCAATAACTTTATTCATTTTCGGTATTTTGAGTGTGTCGCTATCCCCCCGGGTGGGGGAACACTGATTGTTCTCAATTAATGTCTCAGTTTGATCCCTGTCAACTTCACCTGGTCTATCCAGCTGTGGAGCATCGTCCCGGGAGAAATCTCCAGCACGGAACTTCGCAAACCACTTTTGACACATTCGATCAGTCACAGCACCTTCTCCATACACTGCACAAGTCTTTTTTGTTTCGGTTGCGTTTTTACCTTTCTTGAAACAATAAAGCATGATAGGCCAACAATGTTGTGTATTTTCCATCCTCAGTATTAAAATGGCTACACAAAAATTCACCAATGTTGATGTTTTTTTTTAAATGCACGCTGCTATGCCAGCTGTCACAATACAATCTAACAAAATTGTTTTGAATGAAGCTACAGTCAACTAAGTGCTGTCAGAGCCAGTTTACGGAAAACCACCAGACAAGCTTTTTGGCCAACCCAATGTATACCTATTTTTACCTCCGAGCTTCTTTAGAATTGCTGGGTTCACCAGGATAATGAAAAGCAGATTAGCCCTGGCAGGTGCAGCTCAGTTGGTTGGAGCACCCTCCCATGACCGAAAGGTTGTGGGTTTGACTCCCGGTCAGGGTACAAACCTCGGTTCCGGGTTAGACCCCCAATTCAGGCAGGTGCTAGGGCACCTAAGAGCCCCTGTCCAGGCGCCTCCAAGAAGAACCGGCTGATGACCATCTCACACCAATGTTTCTCTCTCTCCCTTCCTCTCTCTCTAAAAAGCAATGAAAAAATGTCCTTGGGTGAGAATTAAAATATTGTAAAACATGCAGATTCACTTCAGCACTCTGAATATCTTTTAAATTCTCTGCACATGATGCATCCTCCCCTGTGGGCCTCCCACCTCAGCCCTCAGACGCCCCACGGAGGCCTCAGAAGCGCGGCCCCGGGAACCCGCCCGGGCGCTCAGCGGGTGCCGAGCTCCGGGCCCACTGGGCGGAGGCCAGGCCGTCCCAGCAGACGCGCACCCCCCCCCCCCGCGGTTTCTCTCCTGGGGGCAGGCCAGTGAGTGCCGGGTGGCGGGGCAGACCCCTTCTTTCAGTTTACTTCACTGTTCTTTTCCCCACCATTTGTAAGATAAATATTACATTCACTTAAAGTTTTCTTCATTAATAATGAAATCATGTGAAGCTTTGTTTTCCTCTGAACACAGATTTGGCTCTGTCCTGTAGAGTTGGGCAAAAAGGTATCAACCTTTGCAGTTTTATGTATAGTTTGAAACTCCATCTTTGAATTTCTCTTTGATCCAGGGTTGTTGTGGGGTTTTTAAAGGGAATTTGCTAATTTCCAACTAGTTACGTTTGCTTTTTTTTTTTTTAACATTTGCTTAGGATTGTTATCAAATCACGTGTCCTCGTATACCTCTTTATTCCACGTGTGTAAGATTCGCTACCCATACCTGGCCCACTCCATGATTTTTTGCAAATATTCCATGGAATTAAATAGATGCAAAGTTCTCTCCCTACACATAGCAAACTGTGCATGCCGTTTGTATTGTTCGTGTTTATTCTCTTACCTGTTTTCTGTCTATACATCTGTCCACTTATGGAATGGTGGGTGCGTTGAAATCTGGGGAGGCGTCCTGTCAGCCGCTCCCAGTCTGGAGCCAACGCCAGGCTCCAAGGCCCAGAGGCCCAGGGTGGAGGTGCGAGGGCGGGGTGGGGGTGGGCGGAGCCGGGGCGGCCAGTCCGGTTGCCAGGAGGCGGGAGGGACACAATGGGGTCTGGGAGCTGGGCCAGGCGGGGCGGGAATCCGGGTGCCCCGCTGGCCTCAGGAGCAGGTTAGTGCATCGGCTTCAAGGGGGCACGGCCTCCGGGCCCCAGGCTTCCAATGCGCCCCCCACCCTGCAGTACCTTCACCCGGTGCCCTCAAGATGTCCCACGCCCCCAGAACCCTGGGGGACTCCCTTCCCCTGGAGCTTAGTCCAGACTTGGCGCGGGTCCACGCCCCTTTACTGAACTCAGTCAGTTTGGGGGAAGGGGGTGGGAGGGGGCTCTGGAGTTCTGCCCTTGCCCCGCGCCCGCAGAGCCGGGAAAGCTCGCGTTTGTTTTCCCGGCTCCTGGGATACGGCGGAGCCCCGCCCCCAAGTGGGACCACGAAGGGCGTCCCCTGCGAGTTTGGGGAGAGGGGCCGGGCCGCCACCTTCTGTCCACAGGTGCTGCAGGCCGTGAGCACCTGACGCACCATGGGCTCGGACGTCTGGGTCGGTCCTTGGCGGCCTCACCGGCCGCGAGGCCCCATCGCGGCGCTGCACAGCGGCCCGGGGCCCAAATACAAGCTGCCTTCCAACACGGGTACCAGTGCCACGCGGGGCTGTGCGGGGTGGGGGTGGGGAGGAAGGAGCTAGTGGGGCCAGTGCCTTGAGGGGGGCCTCCATACCCCAGGCGGGAGAGCGGGAGGTCAATCTGGGCGGACGGGTAGGGGGCTGTGCGGGGTTGAGAGCGGCAGGGCCCAGGGTGATGCTGAAACACCCCGCAGGCTACACCCTGCACGATCCGTCGCGGACGCGCGCCCCCGCCTTCACCTTTGGCCTGCGCCTCCCCACGCAGCAGACCTCGTGTGGACCCGGGCCCAGCCACCTGGTGCCTGCGCGCATGACCATGCGCGGCCGCGACTGCACCCCGGCCTACTCCATCCACGGCCGCCCACGCCAGGCAGCGCCCAGCCTCACTCCCGGACCGGGTCAGGACCCCTGGGACCCCAGCCTCCCCAGTGCCCAGGAGGCTGACCTTGAAACTCCCCACCTGACCCTCAAACTCAACCTTTGGTACCCCAACACTCCAAAATCGGCTCCCCTAGGTCGGGTCTCCACAGAATTTCAAGCCTCGCCACGTCTTGACAAATCGTAGCTTGGTTTCCCCTAATGATTGGGGCCTAAGCCCAGAACCCCAGCCCGGCCCCGCCTACACCCCTGGTTCACCCCACAGCCAGGTACTTCCCGGAGCGAGCGGGGAACGCGACCTACCCCAGCGCGCCCCGGCACACCATCGCCTCCAGAAACTGGGGCATCCACATGGACCAGCACACCCCAGGTGAGGCCGCGGAGGTTCCAGCCCCGAGGCCCTTCCCACCCCGGCCCAGAGCCGCTCTCCGCTCAGCACTCCCAGAGGCAGGGAGACCCTGGCCCGTCTGCAAAGGCGAACCCCCCCCACCCCCCGCTGGCTGCTTCCAGGTCCAGGGACCTACACGGTGCCCTCGCTCCTGGGTCCGCGCGTCATTGGTAAAGCCTCGGCCCCAATTTACTCCATCTACGGCCGCAGCGCAGTGGGCAGTGTCTTCGAGGACCTCAGCAAGGTGAAGGAGGGGCTACGGCCCGGTGCAGAGTTGGGGCCTGCCGGTCTGACCGCGGAGAGCCAGGAAAGGGCGGGGGCCAGGGGACGGCGGAGAATGGAGGTCGGACCCAGCGCCCCTTCTGCACCCCTACAGACCCCAGGTCCGTGTGCCTACCACGTGGTGAGCCCCGGGATCTACAAGTCTCGGGCCCCTCAGTTCACGATGCTGGCGCGGACCTCACTCCCCAAAGACAGCAGCCTGAACCCCGGGCCCGCAGACTACAATGTGGATCAGGTGATCTGGGTTCAGGGACAGGGTCAGGGTCAGATGCTGGGGAATGAGGGTCCGGGCTCAGGATGGAGGGTCTGAGGCCCAAAGTTCGGGAACGGGGGTCCCAGCGTGGAGCCGCAAAGGTGGGTGCGCCAGGTCAGCAAAGTCTCCTGGGTCCACAGCACCGGAAATCTGGCGGTTGGACCTTCGGGATCCGGCACTCGGACTATCTGGCCCGTACCGTGCCCGATGTACCCAACAGGGATGACTGACGGGCCGACGGGCGCGGTGCCGCAAACATCTGCTTAAAGCTTCCGGAGCCAGACTTGAGTCCGAGTCTCTGTGCCAGCGTCGAGCTCCGCAGCCGCGGGAGTGGGGAGAGGTGGGCGGGCACCGCTCGGAATGGGCGGAGCGTAACTGGAAGGACCTGAAAGTCCCAGAAGTCTCGCAGACCACCTGCTAGGGTAGGTGATCCTTGGACAACCCAGGCAGGAAGGCCGAGAGCTGCAGTTCAGGACGGGTACCGGCCGGGGTCCATTTATGAGGCTGAAGTGGTAGCCAGGCACGAAGACACGCACAGACACAGTACAGGGGGAGGGGGAACAGGAAAAAAATGGGAACGGCGTGGGGACAAGTGCTCCAGGCCCCACTGTCAGAGGCAGAGCGGCAGCAGAGTCCAGCTGCGTCTCGCACCCTGGCAGGCCTGGAGCGATGGCAACCCCAGGGACCTCAGAACCCCCAGCACCCACCCCAGCGGGTGATCTCTCCGGGGAGGGCCCCAGAGCCGCCCCCCCTCCCGATATACCTCCAGAGCCCAAGCAGCTCCTGGAGCTGATCTGCCTGAAGCGAGATGGAGGCCACCTGAGTGGGGGAGACATAAAGGGTTTGTGCACGCTGTGGTGGACGGGAGCTCGCGGGCATGCAAATAGGTGTGTGGGGCCTGCCGGCCACTCCTGACTCCAAACCAGAGCCTCACTTCCTGCCCTGAACTCCCCATAGCAACCCGGCACTGCCACTGCCCCAGGACAATCCATCACCGTAAGAATGCCCCTTCACGCTGCCTACCCTCTGTACCCCATGCCCAGGGGCCACGCTCATGGGCACCCGACTGCAAGGCATGGATCTGGAGGAGACTGTGGCGCTGACCCAGGCCCTGGCCAACTCTGGGGGGAAGCCGGAGTGGCCAGAGACCTGGCGCCAGCAGCTCGTGGACAAACACTCCACAGGGGGAGTGGGCGACAAGGTCAGCCTGGTCCCGGCACCTGTCCGGGCTGCCTGTAGCTGCAAGGTGAGGAGACGCCGCTCCAGACCAAACGCTCTGACCTCAAAGAAGCCAGCAGCTCCCAACCTCTAATTTGGTGCAGACAGAGCCCCGAAAGGCAGAGCCCGGGCTCCTTGCCCCCCACCCCAGGACAGAACTTGGTTCCCCTTCCCATCAGCCCCCATAACAGGACCAAGTTATTTTGCACCCCTTCCCCTTCAGTACCTCAGAAAGAACTCCCAAGAGAAAAGCTTGATTCTCCTCTCACAGTGCCCCCCCCATCCCAAACCAGGACAATTATTTTCTATTCCTTCCCCACCAGCTGAACACCCACTACCACCCTTATTTAAATTCTTAACTCCTGAAGTCCTAACCAGGGAAGGTAAGGGAGCGACTGCAGGTGTATTCAGTGCCCCTGTCCCGCAGGTTCCTGTGATCAGCAGACATGGTTTGGGGCACATAGGGGGCACCTTGGGTAAACTAGAGTCTATTCCTGGATTCACTGTCATCCAGAGCCCCAAACAGGTACATGTAGGCACTGATTGGTTATTGACCTAGGCTATTGATGGAAACATTAACCAGGATCACTAAAGGATCACTGATAGATTATTAATCAGGGTAACTAACAAGGACATTAACCAAAGTTATTCATGGGTCATTGGGTTTTGGTTAAGGTCATCAGTGGGGCTTTGATTGGAGTAATTAATAGGGACTTGTTCAAAGTCACTGATAGGCCTCTGAAGGATCATTAATGGGCCATAGGACATTGATCAATATCCCTGATGGGTTGAGCCAATCATTAATGAGGACTTACCAGGATTGTTCATAAATCACTGGTCATGGTTTTGCACATTTGTCAAGGTTGCTCGTGAGCCCTTGACTGGGGTTAGTGGCAGGGTCCTCGATCAGAGGTCGTGACCGTCACTGGGCGTCCTGATGGAAGGGGTCTACCAGATGCGAGGCCTGCTGGAGAGAGTGGGCTGCTGTGTTGTGTGGGGGTCAGAGCAAGAAGCTGCTTCCTGCGGATGGAGTCCTATATGAAGCCAGAGATGTGACAGCAACTGCTGACAGCCTGCCCCTCGTCACAGGTGACCGGACCCTACAATCCTGGGTCCACCTTCTGCATGTGAAAAGTCCCTGACCCCTGATGGGACAGTACAGGGTGTTCCCACCAGGGGTCTGCCAGGCCTCCCCCAGCCCCAGGGTTAGTGTCCTCCCCCCATCACAGGATGTCTGCCCACCAGCGCAAGAGGGAGACCTGGCTGATGCACAATGGTCCAGCACTGGGGCCCATCACAAGGGACTTGACCCTCAGAGTTCAGGGTCCCTGACTCCTCCCGACAGGTTGCCCTGAGGCGGAACACCTCCAGGAAGCTCCAGGCTGCCCTTTATCCCCAGACCCCTCTGCCTCTCCCAGCCTCCATCCTCAGCAAAAAGGTGGTGCAGAGCCTGTCTGCTCTGGTGGGGGACGTGAGGTTCGGAGGGGCTGCCATCTTCCCTGGCCGGACGGAGGCCCGGGAACTGGCAAGAGCACTGGTGAGCAGCTGTGCCCACAAGCCCTGTGTTGCCTCTCTGATGGGCAACCTCCTCCTGTGGGCTGGGCCACCCCTTCATAACCCCAGCAGTCTTCTCCCTGTGTACTTCTCAGTCCACCTCCACTCAGCGGCCCCGAGCCATCCTGGCCTCTGCCGGACCTGGCTTCCACGCTGCCAGTCTGTCCTTCACCACCCTCCCCGACTCAGTGGCCTTACCCAAGCAAGGCTCACCTGGCCTCAGGTCTGGAGAACCTGCCATGGCTCTCCGCCCCAGGCCAGGTACAAGGTATTCCTGACCCCAACACCCAAAGCCTTCTGTGACCCCCTCACTCCTCGGGACCTGGCAAGCAAGGGTGCAGCACCAGCTGGAGTTTGATAGCACACAGGCTACAAGAGGCCCCACAGAACACTGGGCAGGGGCCACACTGAACCGTGCCTCCGCAGGTTGCTGTAGGGTCAGGCCTGGGGCTTCACGTTGCAGCGGCTCTGACAGCTATGGACAACCCCCTGGGCCGTAGTGTAGGCCACACCCTGGAGGTGGAGGAGGCTCTGCTTTGCTTGGACGGCGCCTGGCCACCAGACCTGCGGGACCTGGTAACTAAGCTCGGTGAGTGAACACGTAAGAGGTGTGGAGATCTGGGTTACAAAACCACTCCCGCTGCACCCTTAGGTGTTGTGAGATGTGGCAGGGGGCGCCCTGCTCTGGCTTAGCGGATGGGCGGAGGCCCAGGAGGAGCGTGCTGCCCTGGTGGTTGCGACGCTGCACCACGGCTCAGCCAGGGACCATTTCGAGCGAATGCTAGAGATGTAGGGTGTGGACCCGGGCCTGGCCCGAGCTCAATGTTCCGGAACCCCTGCGCAGCGCCGGCAGCTGCTACTCCGCGCCTGGAAGAAAGAGGAGCTACTCGCGCCCGTCTACGGTAAGCTCCCGAAGACCCCCGCCCCGGTCCCTCTGTTCCTAAGTCCCTGGCCCTGCCCCGCCCGCCCATGCCACCGAGCCCTCTCCCCGCAGGCACTGTGGAAGTCATCCGGGCCCTGCCGCTGGCACGAGTGGTGCACGAGTGGAGCCGGGCGCAGCCGTGCCGGAGAGCCGCTTCGACTCGGGGTGGGCGCTGGGCGCCGAGCTGCTGGTCGGCTTGGGGAGTGCACCTGGATAATCCAGCGCTCAGCGGCTCGCAGCGCAGCGCCCACCAGGAGGCGCTCGTGCTCTCGGACCTCGAGCCCTCGGTGCCCCCTCGCCCTACGCTGAGCTCATTTTGCCGCCGACTAAAGTGCAGGAATAAAGCCCGAGAACCGCAAAGCAGTTTCCGTGCCTGACACTCAGCAGGGAGGGGACTGGAAGGCGGGAACCGCCTGTGAAAGGCCAGCTCAGAGTGACGGGGCGGGGCGGAGTGGGTCCGTTAGGGGCGGGGCTACCGAGGCCCCACCCAGGCACGTGACTTCGGCGGGCCCTACCACTGCTCACACTGCCCACTGCAATTCAGATTGCGCGTGCGCAGCCTGTTGACGCGTGCGCACTGGTGTTGAGCACGGCGACCTGGTAGATCCTTGCTCGGCTACCGTCCCTGAAAGAGCGGGGCCGCGCGCTCAACCCGGTGTTCCGTGACTGGAGGCCCCCCCCGACTCCAGACAGCCTGAGGTGCGTGCCCTGGGAAGACCCAGAGTGCAGAGGATGGAGGGGTGGGCGGGCGCGCGCCTGGGGCGTGCTCGGTGTGTGACCGCTGCTGAGCAGACAGAGGCGCGTTCCGGGAGGGTGCCCGGGAAGCGTCCGCAGGTGCGTTCGCTTGCCAGGCCCACCTCGAGCACTGCCTGGAGCCCATCTCCTGAAGGAGGAAGCGGGCACAGAGAAGGGACGTGCCCAAGGTCACGGGTCCAGAGCCCGAACCAAAAACAATGGGAGTAGGGGTGGAGGCCCCGCCCTTAGGGTCCTCTACAGCAGCCGAACTGGTGAGAGGGTACTCAGACCTCTACCCTCAGGCACGGAGGTCACCGAAGCAGCGGCGGGGCATGGGCTGCCATCGGAAACCTGGGTGTGAGGGTGGGTTTCGTGGCAAGTGGAGACCTTGTTTCCCCGCCCGCGTGAGCGCGAGAAAGAAGGTTCAGCCTGGGCGGCCCGAGGGATGGTTCAGCGTGGGTGGGGCACCAACTGACTGCTCTGTGGGCAGACTGGGGAGGGGGCCAAAGGCCGCGGCTGAAGTGGTCTCTGACGTGGAAGGCAGAGGAGTCGGTCTTTGAGGATTGAAGCCAGACTCGCCAGCCTCAGCTCTGACATGAGATTTATTGCAGATACACGTGCTCAGGAATCTGGGGAGGCCGTGCACGTGGGATGCTTTCCATCAGCTCAGATGCTACAACACAGGTGAGTGTCGGGGTCTGGAGCTGCGGGGGCTGACAGGGGCAGGCCGCGGAGGGATAGGCATGGACCTGATGACGCCTAAGCAGGAGTTTGAGGCTTCAGAGGTGAAGTGGTTCAGGGCTCAGCCCAGCACTGAGTGGTCAGTCAGGGACGCTGTGAGCCTCAGTGTGGGGTGGTCTCTGGAGTGATGGGGGACGACCCAGAAGGCCAAGACACCTTCGGGTTCCTGACAGGTTGGCTCTTCTCCAGGAGCATCAGGCCCGTGCTGCTGCTGGTTTGGACACCCAAGGTTCCACATGGGTGCTCTCAGCTCAAGCCCCCAGCCCTCCCTAGGACCCCTGGAGGCAAGGCCTTCCACGTGAGGTGCCAGCTGTTGTCAAGGCAGGGTCCCTCAGAGGCAGGCAGGGCAGGCAGGCCCCAGGGCCCCAGGCTGCAAACCAGGCTGCTGGTCACAGCCTTGTTTGGGGCGGGCCTGGGTGGGGGCTGGCTGGCCCTGAGAACTGAGAAGGAGAAGCGGCGGCAGCAACAGCGGACAGAGGCCCTGCGGCAGGCCGCCGTGGGCCAGGGCGACTTCAGCCTGCTGGACCACCGGGGCCAGGCCCGATGCAAAGCCGACTTCCGGGGCCAGTGGGTGCTGATGTACTTTGGCTTCACTCACTGTCCCGACATCTGCCCTGATGAGCTGGAGAAGTTGGTTCAGGTGGTGCAGCAGCTAGAGGCCGAGCCCGGCCTGCCCCCTGTGCAGCCCATCTTCATCACCGTGGACCCCGAGCGGGACGACGTTGCAGCCATGGCCCGCTACGTGCAGGACTTCCACCCACGGCTGCTGGGCCTGACAGGCTCCTCGGAACAGGTCGCCCAGGTCAGCCGCAGCTTCCGTGTGTACTACAGCGCTGGCCCCAAGGACGAGGACCAGGACTACATTGTGGACCACTCCATTGCCATCTACCTGCTTAGCCCTGACGGCCTCTTCACAGACTACTACGGCCGGACCCGCTCTGCTGAGCAGATTGTTGACAGTGTTCGGCGCCACATGGCTGCCTTCCGCAGCATCCTGCCTGAGCCGGGTCAATAAAGGGTGTGGTGGAGCTGTGTGTGCGCATGAGCTGTACCAGCTGCACTCGGAGGCTGCAACACAAGAGGGGCCTGGCTGCTGGTGGGGATCCTGTAGGTGGGCAGCTGTCTTGTCTTCTCTGCACAGAGCAGGAGCCTTTATAGGGGGTTGGTGGCATGACAACACTTTATTAGGCTGGGCCAGCCAGGAAGCATGAGTGGAGTGAGCAGGTGTTGCCCGATGTCTGGGGGGGGACAGGGCTTCTGGGCCCGACCCCCAGTTCCAGCACTCCCCACTCAGGGCTGAACCATGGAGGGGGCAGCATAGGTCTGGAAGCGCTTATGAGCCCGCTGGCGTGTGAGCAGTCTCAGGGACATGGTATCCACGGCCGCCTCCAGCCCCGGCTGCTGGGTGATCTCTACTGTGTGGTCATTGGCCTGTAAGGACAGTGTGGTCAGCAGAACCCAGGGACCACTTCCCTCCCAGCTCCCAAGGGCCACTCACCAGTTGCAGGGAGGCCAGCATGGCACGACACACCTCGAAGGCAGGCTGGCCGGCCACCAGCTTTGCAAAGGGACACCACTGGTTGAGCTGGCTGAACCTCGAGACCACCTGGTCCCCGTAAGTGTGGATGTCAAAGGGCGCGTGCTGCTCCTTCAAGGGGAGGGCGTGACCCTGAGGCAAAACTGCAGGCAGCAGGATGGCTCCCGTCCCAGGGCAGGAGCTGACCCAGCCCCCCTTACCTGTTCCTGCAGCAGGGGCTGGATGCTGGTCTCCCAGTCCCTGACACGCTGGCTCAGCTCTGTCTCCTGGACAAACTTCTGAGATGTCGTGATGAAGAGTTCCTACAGAGACCCAGGGGCTACAGTCTTCTGTCTGTGGAGCTCACCCGGCTCCCCACCCACTCCAACCAGGGCCTACCACGTTCCTTCGGACCAGCTCCTCGTAGCTCAGGGACGCTGGCATGGCCTCTGCTTCTGGAAAAGGGACAGCGTTAGCTGTGGGCCACACCCACCTCTCCCTCCCTTGTCCTCAGTGGGGTCCCTCCTGACCTACCGGCCAGCAGCCCACTCCCAGACCTACCCAGGTCTGCAGCTTCCACAGGCTGTGCCCCCTCAGGTTCTGTGTACTCTGCAGGCTCTAGAAAATCATCTGCTAGGAGACCGGGCAGCCCCAGCGGGAGGCAGGTCAGCCCCATGCCTGTCCAGAGCTGCTCCACTCCCACCCCACCCCACCCCACGTGCACCCACCTGCTTCCTCCAGGGAGTCCTCCAAGCGGTCCTCCTCCGCAGGCCACAGCCCCTCCTCAGCCCTCGGCAGCCACTGCTCAGCAACCTGTGCAAAGACTATGAGGCCACTGCCATCTCCCACCCCTGCGGCTGTTTGGGGTCTGTCGTGGCTGGTACTTGCCTCTCTCCTCCGCAGTTTCTGGAGGGTCTCTAGCTGCTCCCTCACGTGTCTCCAGTACAGGACCTCCATGTCTGTGCACAAAGGCCTCGTGAGGGGCTCATGTCCTGCCCAGCCCACCCAGCACCTTGGGCATCCGGGGAGGGAGCAGGGGGGGTGAGCACAGCATGGTGTCATTATCCCTCAGAGTGCACACAGGGCCCCAGCCTCACCTGCAAAGGACGGGCCCTTTCTCCGGGGCCGTCTGCTGTCAGCATGGTCAGCATCTGCAAGAGAGCCGCAGGTCATCAGGAGCCAGGCCAAGTCCCCTCCTGCCCCACCTGCGTCCTCCTGCCCTGGCCCTGCCTGCCCACTCACAGGTGGCCAGGTACCACTGGTGGAAGTCTTGCAGCTTGGCAGCACCCTTCCTCTTGCGCTTCTGCCCTGGTGCCTCCTCCACACAGGCGGGCACAGAGTAGGGCCTACCTAGAGGCAAAGAGACGGCTCTCAAAGCACAGCTCTGGGCACACCAGGCTCCTGGTGGGTACAGGGCACACCTCACCCATACCATCTGCGCCCCAGCAGACCAGCGATGGTCCCCGGGTGGCAGTGTCCCTCCAACCAATTACCCTTTTTTTAAATCCCTTTGGTTCACAGGCTGGCACTGAGTCTGCTGAGCTACACCAGCCAATTACCTTTCTTGAAGGGCTTAGAGTCCAGAGAATTGAAGGGGTCCAGGCTCTGCCAGGGGTCTGGCGTCTCCTAAGTAGAGTGTAGGCAGGCTCAGGGAGCGCAGGGACACGCACCTCCCTCCAAAGCCCCACACTGAGTGCAGTGACAACCGGGGACGGACTGGCCACACTCAGTCCAGCACAGAGGGCCGCGTGCAGGCAGGAGAAAAGCTGGGTGGTGAGGCCTCAGGCGCACCCTCCCTGCTAGCGGGGTCGGGGGTCCGGCCCACTGCCTCACCTTCGGCCGGGACGTAGGCTCCAGGGCCTCTCGCCTCTCCCGGAGCTCAAACCTCCTGGGCTGGGCAGTGCCCTGCAAAGAAATGGCCGCAGGGATGCCCCTCCTTTGCTCTGGGGGCCAGTACCCTGCAGACACTGTCTTTGGGGGCAAGAATTCCAAACAGCTCAAGGACTAAAAAGTAAACCCTCTAAGAAAAACTTCAGGAAAGCACACAAACTAGTGAACCAGTGGCCATGGGGAGAAACAAAATGAATCTGATAAATATGCACACAGCTACCAGCCAAAATTAACAAATGATGTTTCCTTGGGTGGCAGGTTTGCCTGTGACAGGTAAGGTTTCTGAGCTCCGGGGCTAGAGCATGGGGCCCTTCCTTTAGGGCCGAGGGAGGCAGCCAAGGCCTCCCAGGCACCACCCCTGCCAGGCCGGGCTCAGAAGAGTCAGCTCCAGAGACCAGCTGCCACTCTGCAGGGTTAAGTGAGCGCACAAGGCTCAAGCCCTTGGAGGCAAGCCCACCAGAGGAGCAGCAACTGCTCTGCTGGGGAGAGGAGAGGGACCTGGAAGGTGGAAGGGCCAGAGGAGCACGACCCCGGGGCTGCCTTCCCAGATTGAGTGTGGCTACTGCAGACCTAAGGCTGCCCAGCACACGGCTTGGGCTTCGCAGGCCTCAGTGTGGGTCCCACCTGCTGCGGGCTCCTGGGCTCCTGGGGCTCCAGAGGGACCTCAGGGGTCATGGCCTCAGGGACCTCTGCTGCCCCCTCTGCATCCTCATCCTCACCCCCGCCTCCGGGCATCGGGCCTTCTGGAGAGGTGCCTGGGCAGGGGAGCGAGAGACCTGTCAGCCCAGAGGAGCCCGAAGGCCAGACAGCAGGTGGGGGCTGCCATCTGGGCCCGAGAGGCCGTCCCCCGTCTCAGCCTCGTTCGCAGACCCAGAGAACACGGCGAGGCGTTTTATACTCTCCTTGCCGTGCTGCTGTGTTCAGTTCATTTTGTTTCTTAGCTAATTTCCTTTTTAAATACTGTCATCTGTGTCTGCCCGAAGAGGAGGCCTGGGGACGGGCAGACGGGCCAGCTCCGAGGCCTCACTCCTCCCCACACCTTCCCAGCACAGGCATAGAGGAGCGGGCGAGCTGGGTCTGCTGAGCACAGAGCCGCATCCCCGCCCCCACCTGCAGGTCTACCAGGATGACTTCTTCTCACCTGGCTCCTGAGATCTGCTGGGCACAGCAACTGGACTCTTGCTCACAGAGATTTCCATTGGCTGGTCCTCAGCCCTCCCAGCCTCTGGGAGAGATGGGGGTTGGACAGGTCAGCCCAGGCCCTCCTGCAGAGTGCCCTTCCCACAGGCCCTGAGGGGCCAAGGCTTTGCAGGGGAGCAGAGCCCTGGACTCGGCCAGATGTAAGGCCGAGACAGGTGACGGGGCCAAGCAACCAGCTCCAACAGGCCAGTCCATGGAGGTGGCAGAGACTAGAGCTGATGGGCACAGCGTCCCCAACAAGGAGCCCAGGCCCTCACCCTTCCTCGGCAGCAGGGTCTCCCTGGGGGACAAGCCCTCTGGCTCCAACATGAAGGCTCCTCTGGGGTGAGGGGTGCACGTATTCATCCTGAAATCCTTCCGGCTGGCCAGGACCTCCCCCTGACAGCTGCATAGGCAGAAACACAGCTGCTGCAGAGATCCCCTCGGCAGTGCCCCGCCACCCCACACCAGGCCCAGACCCGAACCTGTACAGGGGGCTGTTGTTCTTCTCCATCTCATCCAGGGCTACCAGGGCCATGGGCAGGAGGGGGACGATGACAACCTCCTGCACAGGGGCCGAGAGTAAGTTGAGCCGTGGGTCCCACGGGCTCTGGGGGGCAGCCCATGTGCTGCACCACCCAGCTCCCTCCTAAGCTCCACGCGGCCCCACCCCAAGAGGGAGCACTCACAGTGGGGGCCTGCTCGTGCCTGAGGTCCACACTAGCGCGGGTGTCGGGCAGGTCGTCCAGCGACAGGAACTGGGGGGACACAGTGGGCTCAGCAGTGGCACCACCAGCACACAGAAAGCAGCAGCCCTGTGCCCAGAAAAACCTCACCTCGTCCTCCACCAGTTGGGTGGCCCTGGAGCTGGTATCCCTGCCGGCCCCATCTTCCCGCACCAACAGCTGCCTGGCCCGCCTGGGAAAATTAATTAAATGGGTGTGTGGAGGCTGGAGGCCACGTGGGGGGGGACGCACAGGCTCCTCCTCCAGGCTCCTCCTCCAGGACTCACCTCTTGCCAGAGATGAAGTCGAGGGCCTGGTAGACCAGCGAGTAAAGGTACTCAACCTGGAGGCCAGAAGCAGGAGGTGAGGACGAAGGAAGGAGCCTACCTTCCTTTGATGCCCCAGGGTCCTCCCTGGGACTTTCCAACCCGAACTTCTGAGCAGAGAAGCCCGCTGCCCTCTCCGAAACCTCCAGCACAAGTCCTGCTACTGTGGCCACCGAAGTGCTTCTCTGCTTGAACAGAATTCACTCCCAGAGCTGAGCCCCCTCCTCCGCCCCACACAGCAGCAGGGGGCCCTCTGGAGGCCACGCGCCCACCACACGTGGTGTGCAGCCCACCCGGCACCCCTCGCTGGCTCCTTCCCCTCCCTGGCCTCACCCCACCTCCAGGAGCCTCTGGCCCCTGGGGGCCCCACCAGCAGGGTGTGCGCATGTGCT